ACATGGACAGGTCATAGGAAGTGAAGTAGAACATGGACAGGAAGACAGACTGGAACTTTCCCATGATGCCCTGGCATCAAGAGACCCTGTCTGTTCAACTGGTAGCGCAGTCACAGTGCTCACCATAATCACAATAGTTTTCATATTTGCTTGTTCTATATTTTGACCTTGCTAAAGCAGAAAAGCTCAAAAGCTTACTTAAGCCTATTCAAAAGCCTGAACGAGCTGATGAGCAGTGCTGCCACATAGGCTAGATGGACAGGAACATCTTCATACTGTGTCATTATTCAAGCTCTTGCCTGCCACTAGAATAGTTTGTACCAATGAACATAGTTATCATGCCCAGCGATCCAAATATTTTATAGTACATTAATCAGATATTGGAACCACTCAAAAATTCTAAAACCGATAAACACATATTGAACAACACTGCATTAAATGCCAGAAGATAAACAATGAAGGAGTTCAGATATTAGAAAAAAACCAAATCTGTGCATCTTCTCTAATTAAAAAAAGAACATTTAAATTACTTGTGCAGCTAGACCAATGGCTGTGCTTCTGGTAGAAGGACAGAAGCATCCTTCCTGGAACTGAAAGGTTATTCAAGGAGGGTAAAGGTAATTAGGAGCAACAAATCAGTCTCTCTGATTGCAGGACCTAATGAGCAACCTAGGACTCAAACATACACAGACTCCAACAAGAATGTGTAATTAAATGTTACACGTCCTTTCTCTTTGCATATATGCTACTGCTCTGTGCTCTGACTGTGTTCAAAGTGTAAAGTATTCAAGTGAGACCATATCCAGACCAGCTCTGATCATTCAATGCCCTGAAAAATATATCTCCTTTATCGTGTGCCAGGGACCTCAGCCCAACAAACCAACATCTGGAGAAAAATAGCTTCTAGTTTCCAGTCATTTTTCTCAGCTCATTCTTTCTTTTCTCATCTTTTTTCCAGGAATGCATATACCACATTATAACTGTGTGACATCTAGACATTTATTTCACATCAATTTGCAAACCCACTTGCAACACTTTCACAGGTGCAGCTACACTTTTCAGCCAGAGGAAGTTTGTAACCAGAAAGCCTGTACTATTAAATCATGGTGCGAATCAGCATAAACACCCAAACACCCCATGACTTTTAAACATTAAACAGTCTGATTTCTGTACTCAAAACCAAGTAACCCTATCTAGATCAATGAATCCAGAAGGTCTGCCTGTCTGAAGCAGTTAGCAGAGACCAACAGGCTAGGCCTGGTCTAAGAGCAGATGTTGTGCAATCTGCATTCATCTAGCAAAAGGCTATGTGGTTTTATGTGTCCATAGTAATCGACACGTAGCACTCAATCAGCGCTTTGCAATCACAAAAACTGGAACTGCGTTTTTAAAAAGCAAAACCATGCCATTTTAATGTTGACACCCTGGGGGGTTTGTCTTTAGGACTTTTTGTATTAAATTACACAGGAGATGTTACAGTAGTTAATCTTCAAATCATGAAATGACTATGTATCTATGGGTGACATACGGCACCCTTTTAAAATAAAAAGTGCAGCTGGATAGTAATTAGGCAGGGAACACCAAGTCCTTTATAAAACATGGTCAGACCTGTGATTGCAGATTAAACAAAGGAAAGCACGTTTATGCACTCTTACCACATTTATGAGCTGGGTAAATTGGATGCACTATATCATGTGAAGGATGCACTCAGAAATTGTTTCTTGTGTAACTTTAGATGTTTAAAACCCCTTCCAAGGCATTAGGCAAAGTTTCAGTTTTTCTTCTGTGAGTTTGTCATTCCTGACTTATTTTTCAGAGCTGGGAGGATTTCTCTCATGATGCTTCCAAACGAAAAGTTTGTTTTTGTTATCTTGACTGATGTCTTATTTTCCCAATAGATTATCTTCAAGCAGAACAAATTGAGACTTTGTGTTATCGGTGTTTCTGATGCCTTTCATAGAGAGTTTGTTTAAAGACACATTAGTAACACTTTTAAAAGTGTCTGACAGTAGGTTAACCCATAAGTTGATGTGAATTGCTTTTTTCCCCAAATATCAAGATCATCAGAAAGGAAAGGTACATTACAGTACATGCATCAGAACAAGAGAAAATACTGAAACTGACATTCTCATACATTATGGTCCTAATAAATATAATTTTCTCTTTCAACTGAGTTGCAGAGGAAAAAAAATCTGGGTTAAGGGCAGGAGGGATCGGTTTAAAAATGGTTTCTAAGGAGCACTGCCAAATTTCTGTGGCTTCACATTAATAAAAATAAAATGCCTCACGGCAATTCATGAAAAGGCATCCTTCATTTCTCCATTCTTAGATAGGTTGCATATTTCAGTTCCAAGAGGACTTGGCAGCTCTGGCATTTGCAGAAGATTTATTTTAACCAAGTTTTTATTAAGCACCATAAGAATAGTGACCATATCTCCACTGTGCAATACTACATTTTAGATTACTCTGTTCCCTGTGCACAAACGACACAAATGTTTTTAGCTTGAGACTAAGAGGAAGGCCAGAAGCACACTTTAGAAAGTGACCATTACTTTCAGACTTTTTGACCAACTCAAAAGTTCAAACAACAAGTTTGACAAACACACAATGCATATCAGATTTTATCGCAAATTAAAACCCACAGTCAAGTACTGAGATTAGCACTGGTAACTAGAGATACTCAGAGCTTTGATTTGGTCTGGGCCAAAGTAGGATTCCTGTATGACTAGAACCCTTGGCCCAGAGCAATTCTGTGGTATGTGCTGTGGTATTCTAAGCATTTTCTCAACTGCAGAAAGAAGCAAGTATTATACAAAAGGAATGCAACAAACGTAATCGCTGTGAAAGATTTTTCAGCATTGTGGTATACACAAATTTAATAGAAACATTGTGTTATACATCTGATTTTGCAAATCCGATAATTGCTTCCTTTGTACAAAGGTCTGCATTTAGAACAAAAACAAGCAGATTCTCCCTTTATCCTTTAGCACTGAAACACAGTAATGGGGGTGTAGGGGTTGTACTGCCAGTATGTGTATCTAGTGTACGGTCCTCACTTTTTATCACCCTCAAATTATCTGTTTCTGATGTGGCAGCAGTGGCTCTGGCCTTGTCTCTGCAAGATTGAGGGATCAAAGGCTGTGGGATCAAATCCCATGTGGTAAGTTGCTGTTGTGCGCGACATCAGCCAAACATCAGCGAAACAAATCATAATGATCAAATCCTTTATGACGTTTAATGACAATACCAACAGTCAACAACAAATTACAGTGAACGTTCATAACTTAAATGAATCATTTAGTAAACTAATCAAAATTCATGTTTTTAAGGTTTCCAAGTGAGGCCTGTTGGATTGTAGTGCTCCAGGGCCAGGTTTGTCAGCTTCTGCTCTAGAGCACACAGGCTCATGTTTTTAAAGAAGTGAAACTGTGCACATGCACCATACAGTTCTGCTGAGTTTCTTTTAGGACAGAATTTTATTAAGATTACTTGAGGAGGAAAGAAAGTGCTAGTGAACAATAATTCAATAATTAGTATTTAATTTATTGGGAGAAATTCAAAAAAAGTTAAGAGAAGATGCATTGATTTTCTATTACATTAGTTGTTAAGTCACCCCAATCTTGTGGAAACTGCTCTATCAATTCTGCAGTCAGGTCCAAGGTCCAAAGCATCCTAAATTCCTCACAAACTGCTCGGGAACTGTGCACCGCAGCAATGGTTCTGGGAAAAAGGAACCAGCAGCCCTATGCAGATGATTGGTAATGCATGGACTTTGTCTCTGTATGGTTAATTTCATACTCATGGGTAAGAGCTCAATGATATTGAGCTGCGTGACATAATGCTTCAATTAAGATAATCGGAGGCAAAGTGCGTGTATAATCCCTGTCCTGAAAGGTGCTGGGATCTTTAACATTGGCTAGGACTAACAACTCTTGTAAACTTGGGAATAGGAAGGCTGTGCCTTTGACAGAATAATCAACACCTGGCAACAATTAAAGTGTCACTTTAGGAGTGACTGATGAAATTACGTGACAGTAGTGACCTCTGACCTTTTCACAGAAGTTTAAACTCTCTGTTGTTTTACAAGCTTGATGACTTAAAAAAGACACCACTGATGCTGCAAAATGTATTACAATCTTACAGATTATTTGTTCTATGTACTACGAGCACATACCCCTACAAATTTATTCAAGTGGCTATAACATGCAATAAATATCTAGCACCTGTGTTGGCTTCTATAAGGCTTTTGGCCCTTAAAATCAAACTGCAAGACACCGCTGTGCAATCAGTCTTCTTCATTTCCATGAATAAATATTTAATGTACTAGCGCACATTTTTTTACGAGAAGGTAGATCATATGAAAATGTATTAATAAAAGTTAGCAGTGTTCCAGCTATAAATCTGAATATGCACTCTGTGGATCTTACAAAGATAAATCACTCATATTACTTAAATCCAGAAATCCAGATGAAAATCCAGTTTTAACTGCCTCAGAGAAAGAGTGAATAGCACAGAAATATTTTAGTAAATATTGAGCAGTTCTGTTACTATGTATGTTTTACAACTTGTTAGCAGTGAAAGCAGAAGATTCTGCTAGTGTCAAAACCTCTGGCTGTAGCTTTTTTGCAAAGTTCTATGGAACTCTCTTGAGACTTGGCCAACTAATAAAGCACTTCTACAAATAAAATAAATAATGAGCGCAAAACACTACTTGAGAACAGTTACTGCTATTTAAAACACAGAACCAATCCTGAAGAAGACCTACAGTACGTGTGTAGCCTTACCTTCACATATTTTGTAATATAATGTTGAGCCAGACACACAGTAGATGAAGTATTCCTAAATACAACGGAGCATAAATAAAGTAACACTGACAAAATAGACTTAAAAAGACTAAAGCAAATGAGAAAAAATTGATTCTTCAGGAGAAATCACAACATTGTCCATTGCATTCAATTCCTGGCAAAGGCAGAGTAACAGAGTGAGAAACCAGCCCTTACTTCTGCAGAGTCAGGTTCAGGGAACCAGTACAGGACTTGATTTTGTTCTGGGCTTCCAGGTGGTTCATGCTCTCTGTGCTGATCCCATCGATGGACAGAACCACATCTCCAACGGCAATATTGGCCTTGGTTGCCTTCCCTCCGTCATTTAGCTGCAAAAAAAATGGAATGGGAGGGTAAGCAACCTTTATGGACTTGAGAATGGGATTAGAGAAAAAAAATTAAAATCCCAAGGAGACTGGACAGGGTCACCCACAATCAGCTGCACTCTCAATACAAAGTCAAAAGCTAACGGACATGCTTTATAACTGAGTGAAAGCAGACAGTCCTTTAATCAGGAATAGGGCTAGTTTCTCAGAAATACCACAGCCACTCTTAAACAGGGATCTTTCAAGAACTAACAAGAGGCACTTCTGCTATCAACTAACTACTGGCAACACTTTAGGTATCCTGGACCTTTCTTCATATTTTAATTTCCCTACAGTAGAATGGAAGAATAAGACAGCTGTTTGCCGCAGGGCTGCAGAATCCTTACGCCATCGGAGGATTTCTGCCAGACCCAAAGACTTGGGAGAGATTCTCATCTGGGAACACTGAAGAATAAAAAAAGTTTCACGCAAAATGTTCTCTAGACGGCCTTTTCAGAGTGATGGTTAAAATCTTAACACACTTCTGATTTATTCTTTAATTCATTCAATAAAATAGTTTTGCTAAGCAAGGGTCTGTTGGGAAGTTACTTACAACCCAGGTGGGAGAAGTTCGTGCCTGGTGAGGACATGGGGACTGGAGCAGGCATGTAACAACTGAAACACCCAAGCCCACTGCACATGAAAGACACACAGTGTAGAAGTGCAAGCAGTAACTCAAGGAACACATGTCCCTGCACAACAATAAGGGGCTTCAAGTCAACTACAGAGAAGGCCATGTCCAAAGAAAAAAAAAAATGACAGGCACAAAAAAAAACACCAGGGGATTTAATCTCTTTTGCTTGTTGATCTGCAAGAAAACAATATCTCATTGTTTCAGCATGGCCCCATTTAACACTACCTGAAGGTGACTGCATTTTTTTATTCACATAATATAATTTAATAATTACAGTTTCAAAACCTGGTCTCTACATAAAAATCAACAAGTGTACTTTCCATGAAACAGTATTTCAAGGAAGAGTGGAACCTTTTTGTTGATTCACTATCAACCCTATCCAGCCCTCCGTGGATAGCAGTTTGAAGACTGAAGTACTCAGATTAGGCAGATAGGGCAAAAATACTCCACAATGGCACCCAGGCTGTTAATGATTTTAAGTAAATGCCAGCGTTATCTGCTTTAAGCTTCTCCATCACATATTAAACACCACCTGGAGCATACTCAGCATTCCACAAATACCTGAATTTTCCAGAGATACTTTTTAACCTGATTTTCTAGCACAGAAACCCCATTCTAACCTTTTCCCCATCAATATGATACACAAGAAAGGTTACAGATAAGAAGTAAATGGCCAACAAACTGTCATAACTACTGGGCTTCAGTAACGCCAAACTATTCATTAATGCACATACTGTATTTTCTAACATGTTTCTTTCGTGTCAAAGGAAAATTCAGCATTGCATCCACTTACTTTACATTCACAAAGATCTGGCTGCAACCACTGCTGTTATTTAACCATGCACAGCACAAGCTGCAAAGAATTAAGAGTATATCAATAACGCAATCTTTCAAAGCACAAAAGCTAATCTGGACAGCTGCAATGGTTATTTGTAAACCATGTCAACAATGATATGAAACAGAAAGCGTGAAAGGGAGACAAGTTATTCGTGCTACAATTTCATGTCCTCTCTCTTTTTTATTTGGCTCACTGAACCACAAGGTTTTTTGGAGTTATGTTAGGAGGGAAAACTAAGCTGTGCTGCCAGATCTTCCAGACACAACGGCAATGGGCCTGAAATCTTCAACACTAGAAGCATTCTGGATGAGTCTCTTGGAGTGGGAGTCCTGGCTTAGTGAGGCTTGACTAGACTTCATCTGTCAGTGTCAGTCACCATACACTGCGGAGCCCAGGAAGAATCCCGGGCTGCCCAATGAAGCAAATCCACACTTTTTTCTCACTTGCAGAATTCACAGCTCAGTGCTGGCCACAGATCACCAACTCACATCGAGAGCAGAAAAACAGCTTTTAGACCCCGCAGGTACAAAGCAAATTATTGTTTAACCACAAGCACCTGTTTGCATGTTAAACTGCTGATCGCCAAACGTAAATCCTTCATCTTATACTCTTGTTGCAGAAAAGAAAAACTCCAGCTTTGTATTTGAGTATCTGAAAGTGTTTGAGTGCATGGATGCCCTCTTGAAGAACTTGCACCACTACAGGAGAAACAGATTCATGCAACTGCTTCTGCTGTCTATACCTAAAATAAAATAACAGAGAACAGAAACAATATCTTTTTTAATAACTTGCAGCTCTGTTTGCCCTTAGGTTTCCCATCATGCTTCTGGCCAATTGGAGCCCTGCGTCAAGGAATGCGTTTGCTATTTGTGCTGTAGACAAAGCATGAAGATTTGATTTCTCCAAGGCCCTAAAGCCTAAAGAGCTGTGTTTGCAGGGAGGTGCACCAAACATTTCACGAAGAAAAGTAAAAGGGAGAGTCAAAACAGCATGCAGCTCAGGCCTTCCGACACTCCACTGGACAAGAGCCGGCGTCTGGAGGCAGAATCACGGTGCTCAAGGTCGAGAACGAAATCATACAAATCACTGCAAGGATTACTAAATGGAATCACTTATGTTCAGAAAAGCATGTGTAAGATACTTTTTCCAAAAGTATAGTACACTAAATTTCTGACAGATGTTCTAGACGTTTCCTAAAAAAAGCACTCAAAGTTATTATAATGTTTTATTGCTATTATCGTTTGCTTTTCTTCCTTGGTAACTCATTATTCCAATCAATTCCAAACATTTTTTAACATTTATGGAAGGATATAAATCCCTGCCAGGGGATTACAAAGTACCCTTTTTCTTTCTATTTTTACAGCTCTTTTAAGTCTTGGGTATAAATTGCCTTGCAAGTTCATTTACAGAATAAACTCAATAATTCATAGCAGACTTCTAAAAGCAATAATACATTACATTCAAGTGAAAGATTATTAATGTTGAAAATGACAATTTTTTTAGAAAGAGAATTGGATTCACAAATTTTCCATATATAGGAAGTACCTGTACACTATGTGGAACAAATTGGTACAGTATGTAATACCTATTGTTGTACAATGCGTGTTCTTGGCATCACTGAAATCAAAATACTGACAGATCCCATTACATACAGACCTTAATGACCTTGGTTTGATTTGGTTACAGTGCCACTTACACATTCACTAGAAGAACTCCACTCACTTTGCATAAACAGAAGCTTTCTGGTGTTTATTATGAATAAGCAACTATAATTCCTTTCAAAATCACCCACTGCACTTCTGGGATCAGCATGCAAAAGACTGAACATGCCTGCTTCCTAAACAAGCAATGAGAGATACTGGATAAGTACTCCTGCTGTACTCGAACTTCTGTTTTGAGGCAGGTTCCTCATCCTGAAAAGTAAGGGTTAAAAGCCAGAGTAATCCTCTCATAAATCTTTCACACAGACAGCGCCACAGAGGCCCAATTACAGAGTTTAGCAATGGAAATATAAATCATATTGTATCCTCAGCATTGCCATCTGTGTAGTTACACTAAAATAATGATATACAAACTTGCTCACTGGAGAGCAAACAGCTCTAGGCTGTAATAGCAGTAAAGAGAATGTGTTGTTTTTTTACTATTAGGTGAACAGTTTCAAAATCCACCTCCTACTACCAGTTTTCTCCAGACTAGGAATGCATCACGCCTAGCAAGCAAGTTCAAGGGCCTCGAGGCTAAAGACCTCAGACCTAGTACAAACTCTTTAACAGATTTCCAGGTGCTTCTTCAGTGAAAACCTGCTAAGACAAACATTAACTCTAGTCCCCCCCGACACACACACACTTACAGTTCCTCTAACAAATAAGCCATCCACTGGCATGCTGCAATGAGTCCTCGCCCACCATTGGAAAGCTAGGGAAAATACAGAGCCCTGTGCCCAAGTGTATTGGCTATGCTGCTTTAAAAAGCAGAATAGTAAATGCTTTGACATCTGATCAAAGGGTTGCAGGTTACGTCCACCCATGTTGTATACTTAGGCAAAGCTAAAAGGCAAACAGCAATAGCAAAACACTCAGCTGTTTAAATACACACACATATAAGCTGCATCAGTCACACCAGTTAGTAGTAATTTAAGGCCTGGACCAGCACTCAAGCAAGAACGGTGTAAGCAAAGGCTTCTTTAATGTTCTCTTTCAGAGTCACTCAATAAGATTAATAACTCAGAGGACTGATCTAAGATATTTAAGAGGATCGCTTCACTTACTGATCTCTCAAAAACCTTATTAGGAGCCGCAGCCACCAAACGCAGAAGACCTAAAGACATCATAATTCATGCCCATGAAGAAACCAGTGCTCGGATAATAAACCAGAGTAGTACTATACCTAATCACAAAACAGCACAGCATATAGAATCATTTACTTTTTTAGAATTGTCAAGCACATAAATGGGTAATATGATATGTTTAAAATATCATATCTAGAAAAGACAATTAAAACTAACAAGAACAGATCTTACATTAGGGTTAAAGGCTCCACCCAGTCAGCCATCAGAAAGTTTATTAACAAAATAAATGAAAACTCATACAACCTGGTACACCCACTAATTGAGGCAATAAGAAACAAAAGGATGCAATTTGACTGCTTTTGCTCATTGCTCTAAGGAACTCATCAATGTGGTCCTGGAGGGAGTTTGTAAGGAGCATTCAGAGGAACAGCTATTGCTAGAAACCTAAAAAACATTTTACTGAGGGATTTGTGAAGTGACTCTTCTATGTATTATTCACACTCAGCTGGCTTGCTATATCTAGAATATTTTACATTTTTACTGGAATATTAAAAATAATCAGTGGTTCCTAAGATACAGCCTATGTGTGCTTCTGCCATCCAATCTCCACTTTGGAGAGGAGCCTTGCAGCTGCAGCACTTTGAAGAAATAAAACCATTTCCTTTGCCCAAGTCAGCCTCATCAGGCTAGTCGCATGGAAAGTC